CACCACCAGGGTCAAGAAGACCACCTCCCCTCCTTAGTCCCAAGTCCGTGCCGCCCCTGGGGAATGGCGGCCACACGAACCCTCTTCCCGAAGCCCAGATGGTTAAGAGGGTCGATGATGCACCAGCCTCCCGGGACCCGGCTCTGCCCGGGCAGGTTGGCGCGCTCACCTAACACGAGCCAGTCGAAGGAGGAGAGCCGCTTTGTCAAACCAGGGGGGGGCGCTCACACGCCTCCACGAGTAGAGCTCGAAACCCACTGATCTGTGCCAGCCTCTTCGGGGCACATGTGGGGAAACTGAGGCCCAGGAAGGAGCAGAAAGTTGCTCCAGGTGACTTCGCAAAGGGCGGCAGAGCTGGGACGAAAACTCGGGGTACCTGGCCCCAGGGTGCCCTTTACCTTTTCACTCCATTGAACTGCCTCTGCTGAGCCAGAGGTGACACGAGTTGTTGGCTGGTCCAACTAGGGCAGCGGTTTGCCACCCTGGCTGCACATTTATCCCCGGGGCACGACTCACCACACCCATGTGTCAGTCTTCCTTCCCTTTCCCCACCGCCCTCCCCCCGCCCCCAAGCCGTGAAACCCTGCTCGGGAAAGCAAAGCCCCCTTATCAAGTCTGGGCCACCTCCAACTCAATGGAAGGCAAGAAGACAGAGTTTTGTCCATTGCCACAGAGTGCCCCAATGAGTCTTGCCTGTGTTCATCCTTCAAGGCTCTGGTTGGGACCCTTCCTCCGGGAAGCCTGCCCTGACCACTCAGTTTATGTTCATTCCTCTTGTCTCATCTCCCAGTTTGGTTCAGAGGTGGCTCCCTTGTCTATGGCAGGCCTGGGGACACTTGAGGCGGTCCAAAGGGCCAGGACAGAGCCTCAAAATGATGATGGTGATAGCGGTGGCAGTTACCATGAATGAGTGTCCCCCACATGCCAGGCATCCCCAACATGCTCTACACACACGATCTCATCCCATTTCCCCACTCCCTTGAAGTGAAGGCCTAAGTGTTTGGGTTGCATCCTGGCCCGGCCGCTCCTCACAGGCTGTGTGACACGGGGCAAGTTACTTAACCTCTCTGTGCCTCCGTTTCCTCATCTCTGAAATGGGGGTGATGATAGAGCATCCACCTGGCAGAATCGTGAGAATGTTACTATATACAAAGCGCTTGGGGCAGTGGCTGCTATGGAGCAGTCTGTAAGGATCTTCACTGACAACATTGTCTCCGTCCTCCGGAGGAGGATACAGAGAGGTTAAGTGATGCTCCCCAAGTCAGACAGCTGCTAGGTCCCAGAGCCAGGGCTGAGCCAGCACACCCACCGCCCCTTCCCTGGTGGGCCCACGGTGCGGGCACCCAGGAGGGCTGAGTCACGACATTTCCAAGCCGGAAGGGACGTAGAGCTAAGCTGGTCCTGCTCCCCCTGCAAGACAGGAATCCGTCCGGGAGCGGTCCAGCCTCTGCAAGAACTCTGAAGGGACAGATTCTCAGACAGCGGGGACCGTGCCTCCTTGCTCAGTATTGTGTCCCCGTGCCCGGCCCGCACCAGACGCCAAAGAAGTACTTGATGAATGTGTGAGCGAGTGAACTGACAGCTCTCCGCCTGTCCCCCAAGGTGGCCCAGGCACAGAGGCCCAAGAATCCTTCCTTTGAGGGTGCCTGAGGCTCTGCCTCGCACGCTGGGGCCATCCCCCCCACAGCCTCCTCTCCGAACCCCAACACGGCCCGTCCATTCACAGAACCCCAAGACACTGCTGCCTTTGCCTCCTGGCCCTGATTCGTCCCCCCTCCTTGAAGGAGGCCCTGCAGGGGAGGAGCCAGCCCTGGCCTTCACGGAGCAGGTCAAACTGGGGGCACGTCTGCCCGATGGGCATGAGGCTGCCAACACAGGTGAGTCACCCCCATGGGCACATGGCGCTGGAGGAGGGGGTGGCGCCAGGCAGCGTGGACGCCCATCCTCCCGTGTCACTCCTGACACGGCCCCTGTGGCTGTCCCTCCTCCAAATCCCCTTCCTAATTCTCACCCTCCACCCACACTCAACCAGGCTTCAGCTCCCGATACCTAGCTGTGCTGGGCCTGCTCCGGACTTGGTTCCCTCCCCTGACCAGCCCCTCACCCCTTTACATCTAATGTCCTAGGACCACCCCCGTCTCTGCTTTCAACTAAGTCCGCTCCAATTCGTACAGTCTTGTTCTGGGATACTGGTCCTCAACTGGGATCGGTTCCCCCCACACACACCGGGCATGTTTGGCAATGCCTGGAGACATTTTTGGCCATCGCAAGTCAAGGTGTGCTTCTGGCATCTAGTGAGTAGAAGCCAAGGGCACTGCTCGACGGCTCACAGGGCAGGGTGGGGTGGGAGACCTGAGACAAGGGAACAGTGACACGCTTCTGCCTCCTCCCCTCCCAGCCCCCTGACTACCTGTGTCCCCAGCTCAGCCTTGGAGCTGGGACCCCTGGAGGCTCCCCAAAAGGCTAAGTAGCCAGCTCCCTGGGGGTTCCCAGAACCCAGCTCCTGAAACCCTGCCCAAACTCTCCTTTTCTGCCTGAGAGAGAGAGAGAGAGAGAAGGTGGGGCCTCACCTCCAGCCACTGGCTCTAAGGACACGGCCATGGCACACAGTAGGAGCCTAACGTGTGGGCTCTGAATGGCTGGAGGAAACCAGATCCTTCCTCTCCAAGTGGCAGACAGCTAAAAGCATAAGACACTTGACCATGGGAGTGGGGGGGAGGGGGGTGTTAAATCCTGGCGTTGACGCTTAGTAACTGTTTGACTTGAGCAAATGGCTCGCCCTCGCTGTGCTGTAGTTTCCCCATCTGTCAAATGAGAAGCTAGTAACAAACGTAGCTCATGGGGTGTCGTGAAGGCTAGATTCGAGCGTTAAAGTTCGAGAAGATTGCCAAGCTTAAAACAGTGCTCGGCACATAGGAAATGCTACGTAAGCATAAATGATTTCTTAAAAAATGACACTCGCTGTTTGCAGAGCTCCTAGGCTGGGGACCAGGACCTCTTCCTATTTGTATGTATCCAGCCTGCAGGGTCCTCCAACGTGCCCAGCACCCTCAAAGGCCCTTGGACCAGAGCTCAAACACTGCAAACCTCTCTGTCCCCCATGCAGTCTCCCACACTCAACTCCCCTGGCTTGGGGGAGGGAAGCCGAGCCAGGCCTGAGCCCCGAGGAAACCCTGTACAGCGCACCAGACCAGCCCAAGGGGCTCAGCACCAAGGGCCTGCAGACCCCCAGGCCTCTGGCTCTTACCCATAAATGTCCACGAGGGTCTCCACGCCAGCCACACACACGGCGCTGGTGGGATGCTCCAGGGACACACGCACAATCCTCTTCATTGACATGCTGGCCTTGGACCCGGACTTGAGCCACCAAAGCCAACACTGCCTCCCAGAGCCCTTGGCGTGTGGTTTAAAAGACCTTGGCCCCGCCTCTCCAGCCCGGGGTGCTAGCTCATTGGCTCCAGTCCTGGAAGCCCAGCCCCTTCCCAGAGCTAGGAGCACAGGATTGGCCAGGAGGAAGCCATCGTTTGCATATGAACCTGTTGCTCCGCCCTCAGCACGGAGGCAGTTCGTTTCTCTAAGGGAGCGTGTCCCAACAGGCACCTGGCCGGGGCACCGGGGCACTGGGGGGATGGGGAAGGCAGAGAGGTGGAGATGACCTGGGCCTCTTTCTCGACTTTCCACGCTCTTCCTTCTCACCCCCTTTCCTGCCTTTTCCGAGATGATACGGTTTAGAGGGGAGCTTCTCTACCCTGCTGGAGGATTCCCTACCTTCTCTACCCTGCAAACGCAGATTCCCAGGCCCCGCCTCCAGGTCTGACGCTGCAGGTTAGGGGTGCGGCCTCACAACTGGATTTTTTGTATAAACACCCCAAAGCATTTTGAGAAACTGAGAAACACCGGCTTTTTTCTTACGAGCATGGAGTGTATTAGCAGGACTGGATTTCAGCCCTAGGTCAACCACACATCCTTGCTGTGCGGCTGCGGACAAGTCACTTCATTGCTCTGTGCCTCACTTGTTGCTTCTGAAAATGGCTCTTGCGAGGCTTAAATGGACGACGTGGGTAGAGCTCTAGTGTGGAGCTTGGCGTTATTCTATTACCGGCGTTGTCATTATTTTCACATGCCAAACACTTGTGGAAGGGGTGGGTGGTGAGGGTTAAATCCCTCTCTGGCCAGGAAGAGCTTAGAATGTGGGCGTAGGAAGGCTCATTTGTCAGGTGGGGAAACTGAGGCCAGAAGGGGGCATTCGGCCACCTGAAACAGCAGGAGCAAGGGCTCTGGGGAGAGGAGCCTTGGGTTCGGATCCAGACTCCACCATGCACCGGCTCTGTGGCCTGGGGGGTGGGGGGAGGGTTACGTTCCCTCTTAAGCCTTGTTTTCCTCATCTGTAGAGAATGAGGCTGATCACTAGCCTGCTAGAGATAATGGCGGGGACACACCCTGCCCGGCCAGGCTCCAAAGGTGCTGAATAGAAACTTCCTCCCTTCTCTCTGGACATGCTGCCAGTCTGAGACAGGGCGGGGACCAGGACCTGCTCCCCAGGGTCCCCAGTGGGTGCACTCCTAGCAGTTCACGGATCTCAGCGGGACTCTAAGCCTGGTGCTCTTTTACCCAAGAGTCTGGGAAGGACGTTCTCAAGGAGAGCTGTTGGGCTGCTGGCTTCAGTCACCGCTTTATTTTTTCGGCTACAAAATGGCTTGCTGGCCAACTCACCTCTGGGTAAGAGTCAGGGCTCAGGAGGAAGCCCCAGTCTCCCTACCTGCTTATGAACCTAGTTGGGAAATAGATCCAGAAAGTGGAGGCTTCCCCCTGGCCACTGGACCACCGTGCTGGGGGCCGGACCAGCCTCTGGCTCGGGGCCCTGTCTCTCCCTTTGGAAATAGACCCGTGCCTTCACCTCCCTCCAGTTAATACCAGCGTTTAGAAACACATCTGGCATTCATTCAGACTAAAGTGTCAGTGGCTGATAGGCAGCATCTTTTTGCCTGAGTCCACAACAAAAGGTAAAAGAAAGTGACTGAGTGAGTGAGTGAGTGAGTGAGCGACTGGCAAAGGGTTCAATCGAGGCAGGAGCCAGCGTGTAGGATGCGAGGGATAATACTTTCAGGCCCCTGAGATCAGACCACCGGGTAGCTTGGTAACTTTGGAGGCAGGAATGAAAGGCAATCATAGTGGCCTTTGGCCCTGGACACAGGTCCCGCTGGAGAATCTCCCACCTCTGCCAGTAGGGCCCAGCACACCTGTCCTCTGAGGGCTAGAAGAGATAGCCCAAGGAAGGGAGAAGAGGTGACGAGGTAGGACCCGCCCCTCGCCTGATGCCCATCTCAGCAGGGCAGTTGGCCTCAGAGCCACGGGCCTGTGCCAGCCATCCTGCTGAATCAGCCCGCCTGGCCGGCACTGGCCCCGGGGGTTGTCCCAGCCAGCAGAAGCTAAGCCAAGGAGCTGGCGGCTTGGGGGGGGGGGGTAGAACTAGGATAGGGCTCCCCTCCCCTCCCCACTCCTCCCCACAGCCCGACAAACAGAAGCTGAGGAGGCAGCCACTTGAAGAAACGCACGTTGACATTTTTATTAATCAGGTAGGAGGCGATCCATCACCTGGAACATTCTCAGAGGGGACATCGGGCTCTCCGACAGCTCCAGAAGCAATTCCAGGGCTTCCCACGCTCAGCGCAGGTCCAGAACACATGCTCCCCACCCTCCCCATCTCTCTGCAACTTCCCTCCACCCACAGCCTTTCCCTGGGGAACCTCAACCCTGGCCGCATGCCCGTGGGCCCCGAAGGGCCTCCTTGCCGTCTTGGCTCGGGCTGGGCTGTGGGTCATGGTTATGTGCAGAAAGTGCAAAGGTTAGACCAGGAGTTGGCACGTGGGGTCCCACAGAGTCTTCCAGAAGGGGAAGAACCCAGGTATACCCCCCACCCCCCCACCAGCCACCTGAAACCAGAGCAGCTCTGTCTTATCCATCTCACGCGTCGGGTGTCCACGGCAGCCTTGCCAACTGTTCCGTGGCTAACAGAGTTTGACCGTGGAGGGCTGGCTCAGTCTCGGTCTTCCCAGGGGCCACTGAAAATCTAGGAGGCGGAGGGAGGCCCAGGGCTGATAGCCACCGCGATGGCCCCAGGGGCAATGGCGGGGAGAGGGCAGGCTGGCCACCTCGCGCCCCTGCGTGCCTGGGACAGGGGTCACCTCTCACCTGGCACTGGCCAAGCCCGGGCACGTCCCCGTGACCCCACCCGGGGCCAGGCTATTAACGTCCCCTCACCCCCATGGCAGCTCTGTGCCCTGTATGGGAGGGGACACAGGCCTGCCGTGGGGGTTTCCTCCCAGGCAAAACCCAGGCTACGGGCAGGGTCTCCGGGTTGCTGAGAGCGACTGGGCGAGCCTTCCCTCCCACGGCCTGCAGGGCGAAGGGGAATAATTAAAGACTATTAAAGGAAATTAAACCCCACCCTCCGAGATAACCTAATGGCTCCTCCCCACCCACCCTCTTCTAACATCTGGGCTCCTATCCCCTGTGACATCTGGAATGGCCAGCCCCCTTCACATCCAGAGTCCAGAATCGGAAGCAGGGAGACCTAAGACACAGAGGCCAGGCCCCGCCGTTTGTCCTCATGCCTCGGCCCCCTCCACAATCCTGGCCTCCCGCCTGCCAGCCTTCCTCGCGTGTGCCCTCCTGAGGCCTCTCTCTGGCCTCTCAGCGTTTCGGGGCGGAAGCAGCCAGCACTCGTAATTAAAGGCCTTCTAAACAGGTAACAAGCACCCTTTTGAGGACGGAGTCAGGTATTAAAGGGTTTTTGTTGCCTTTTCTTTTGAAGGCAGGCCCCAGATGCTAGGTTTCCCGTCCTTATTTGCCTCTATAAATATGGCTGAGGGGTGCTGGGAGGTCACATCTTGCGGGTCCCCTGCAGGAGAGGACAGCTGGTCGGGAAAAGAGGCTGCCTCGCCTCCCTGCGCCTGCTCTTGCAAGAACCACAGACGGCCTGGACCCAGGCCCCTGCCTCTGAGCCCAGGCCCCATGGATGCCGTTCCCGGTGCAGACCCGCAAGAGGAATAGGAGAACAGAGGGAGAGCGACTCAAAGTCGGGCACAGCCGCGGCCACACGCGGCTGCCCTTGAACGTGCTGAGGCCGTTGCTCTTTTCCAGAACCTCTGGGAGTGGCGGATTGGGAAGAGGGAGGGAGGAATGAGGACGGTCCCTCTCGGGCTGTGCAGGCCACTCCAGAGGTGAGGGTGCGGGCGTCCGTCGCTGCGTCCCGGGGCCTGCGGTGGCCAGCACGTTCGCAGGCACTCGAGGAGAAGCGCCCGAGGCTCCCCCACGAGGACGGGGGCCGGGTGGAAGTTCCTCGCCCCCTTCCCTGGTGGGGCTCCCTGGCAGGTGGGCAGAGAGGACGGCGGGTGGAGGGGGGCTCAGGGCACCATGTGCCACCACTTGAAGGAGAAGGGCTGCCGGCGCACGTTGGTGCCACAGTGGATCTCCCCCAGCAGCTCGTGGTAGGACAAATAGTCGTCGATGAAGATGCAGCGGAGGCCCAGTGGCTCCAGCAGGGACCGCACCTTCTCCTCCAGGCAGCAGCGGCCGTCGATGATGGGCCCGAAGGGCTTGGGGATGCCCAGGTGCTTGCCTAAGACCACCATGTTGACCTGTAGACGAGAGAAGGCAAGAGGGAGACAAGAGGGGACCCATCCCCAGGTCCGACCCACCAAGACTGGCGCTGCCTCTAAAACTAGGGTCCATGAAGAGAAGAAATGGATTGACGGTTGGAAGAGAGGATTCATACCAGGTAGGGCTGCCAGTAACATGCATGGTGACTCTGTACGAATGAAAGTCACCCCTTCCTCCCACGCTGTCTTCCATCCATCAGAAAGTTGTCGGGACAATTCAGGGCAAGATTTTACCTTCCTCTGCCAGAAACCTTGTACAGCAGCTATCTACAAGGTTGATGGTGTGAATGTCTTTCTAGGTTTGGTGCACTTGTACAGTGCACAGCCTGCTTCACTCTCCCCGGAAGCCCTGATCGTCGTTACGGTTTACCGAACATCTCCTGCGCGCCAGATACGTCATCGCTATGCCTCACAGCCTCCCTGCGAGTCGGTGGCAGGGAAAGGTTAAGTGACATAATCCAGGCCACACAATCAGAGAATGGGGAGACTGAACTTTGACGTGGGGCCAACTCACGCCCAAACCCATGCTCTTCATATGCTGCCAGAGTGTGGCACGGTGGCCGCCTGGGGAGCTGAGGAGTTGGGACAAGGGGCTGGGAGCCCTTGGGGGCGCCTGTGTCTCCAGTGGCACGTCTGCTTCCCCGGCTGGGGGGCCCTAACACTGGGGAAGGGACGTCTCCCCAGGGCAGGGTATGGAAGTGTCTTAGAGAAAACCTCGGCCCCAGATGGGTGGCCAGAGGAGCTGTCCTTGGTGTTCAAAGGGGATACGCTGAACCTGCTGTCTGGAGGGGAGGGCTGGGTCATCTCAGCATGGCGTGGCCTGCCCTGGGCTCTGTGCCCTCACGCTCTCCATGCTCTGGCCCCTCGCCCTCCAGACTGCCCTGCAGGGCCATCCACAGCTGGGATCAACATGACCCTGGAGGGTCCTCTGGGGTCAGTCCCATGGCCTCCGCCCTGAGCTACCCAGTTGCCCCTAAGGGGCCAGAACGTGCTGGGTAGTAGTGGGACAAAGGGCAGGGAGGGGAGCCAGGTCCGTTTCTTCCCACACGAGGACTCAGGAGCCTGGAGGCCACTCGCTTGCTGGATGACCTCAGGGGAGTCAGCCACTCTCCTCTGAGGGCCCGTTTCTTCATCTGACAAACGGGTTAACTGAGTTCCCTGTGGGCTCTTCCAGTGAGGACATACCGGGCTCCTTCAGCAGGGTCTGGGTGGGAGCTGAGAGATTCCCACAGAGGGGGGCTTCCAGCCGGTGTGGGCAAGGCCACCGCCCAGAGAGGGCCGGCCAAGGTCATGGGCTCTGGCCAGAACAAGAGCCAGGCCGCCCCCTCAGCGCCCCCCTGTCCAATGGGGCAGCCACTGGCCACACGTGACTGTCGAAATTTAAATTAAACAGAAGTATAAAGTTCATCCTTCGGCCACACTAGCCACATGTGAAGACCCCCATCGCCACATGTGGCTTGGTGGCTCCCCTGTCCCATCGTGCAGACGGAGAACGTTTCCATCGTCTGAGAAAGTTCTCACAGGCAGCACCGCCTTGGAGGGTCGGTTCTCAACCAGGGCGATCCGGGCCCCAGGGCATTTCGGTTGTCACAGTGAGAGGAGAGCGGCTGACACCCAGTGGGCAGTGGACAGGGATGCCACCGCCATCCTGCGATGCACAGGACGGGGCCCCCACGACAAAGGAGTCAGGCCCAGACATCAGTAGAGCCGAGGTCCTGCCTCTGCCAAGACCCCACAGCGAGGAGTCAGGAGTGCGGGGTCCCGGCAGGGAAACCCTGCCCTGTCACTGTGCCTCCAATCAGGACCTCGGGACCTGCTCCCAACCCTTCGCTTGGCCGGTGCCGGTGCCGGGGGCGGGGGGCGAGGGGACTCCAGTTACAGGCCCCAGGCTGAAGAGGGAGGGTCTCCCATCCTGGGCAACCAAGCCATGAGGGGCCAACAGCCTGACATCCCTTCCCAAAGGCGTTAATGGTCGTGCAGCCGATAGCATCACCAGGCCCCTCCCAGAGGCCAC